TTGAAGTCTCAGGATCTTGCAATGATTCTAAATTCCGGAATTTATATTTTTCCTGCATCCCAGATCATTATTTTTTTTTGTTATTCTGAATTTACTTACTCTTCACCTTTTTTAGTTCAATTCGAATCATCCTAGAAATCCATCATATTTCTTTTCTATATTCCCCTAAAATAATCTTGAAAACATCTTAACTTTTCCAGTAACATTCTAAGAGTTCTTAGCATTACCTCTTGAAATCTCTTATAAATCACACAATCCCACAACTCCCTCAAATTGGTAATAATTCCCAAGAATTGGCTCAATTCTGTGTCCATTTTTCTCTATGAAATTCTTAAAATGTTCTTAACAATTTCCTACAGAATGACCGTCACACTCTTCTCAGACTTATCCGATAATTCTCTTTAAACTGCTTTGTAGATAAAGTCAGAATTGTTTTTAATTCCTTTTCAGTATTACCTAAGTACTCAAGTACTTTGCCAAAATGGTTTTGAAAGTCTCCATGAAATTGCGCTTAAATTTTATTAACATTAATCTCCATAGAAACATTGTACAGAATTCAATTGAAATTATTCTCACGATTCCTATCAGTTTCATCATAAGAATTTTCTATGATTTCTCTTCCGGATTGTATTTCCTTTATTGTCAAAATCTCCATGCAATTTTCACCAGAGTTGACAAGACAATTGACACCGTCTTCAACCAGAGGTTGCACAGACTGAATATGTAACACTAGACAACGGACAACACACCACACCCATTAGACCAGTAGGGAAATTTTCAGGTTGCCAAAATTTGCACCGGCTGAAGCGGGAATCGTGGCACTCACCATCAGTGTGCAAAACAGTCAGGTTCATTGAGTCATTTTGATATGAATATGAACTGCCATCTGCCTCATCATTCACTGCACTCAGTCAGTAGCTCAGTCAACACGTTTATTCTGCCGTTATGGTACCCAATATTTGTTTTGAATGACTGAGCGTACATTTCCTATGGAAAAATCAGTGCCAACATTTCAAAGGGGCGTAATTGATTTTGTAAACAATGGCTTTAGCTGTCGATTTCTCACATCTTAAAGCTCACTCCTCCAAAATGCTAGATGGTAGAGGAAACATTCCTCTACCTATTGGTGTCATTATTTTTCATGAGTGAGCTTTTATTCGCGAGAAATCGACGGCTAAAGCCATTGTTTACAAATGCAATTACGCCCCTTTGAAATGTTGGCACTGAAATGACTCAACATGCTGTGTGAGCGAAGGCAAGCGGTGTGCGTCGCCTACTCGTGAGTGACTGAATGTTTTTGTTGGCTCTTTCATTGCCTCGTCCTTTACCGTTTGGTACAAACGGTCTGCACAGAGCAATGGATTGAATAGTGCAGTGCTTTCACACTCAGCCTAGGCAGTCAATAATGTTACGCTCTGCTCACAATACGCCTAAATGATGGGTGACGCCGCACGACTCCGAAGCCCACAAAGATGGATGTAACTCTACTCAAAAGTAGCTTGAAATTCTCTTTTGATTTCACAACGAATTCGCCTCACACTTAACTGTGAACTATGCCAAATAATGTCCAACGTTGATGGCCTTTAATAATTAAAGTAGCAAGTTTGGCTTTTTATTTTTTTATTAGAGGGTAAATCAATTGCAGTTATATTTTTAAAACAACATGCTTAAAAAATCTGGGAAACTCTGGAACATATTTAAAAAATCTGGAAATATACGTGGTCAGTCTGTGTATCTGGCAAGACGACTAAAAATCTGGAAAATCCAGATAAATCTGGAATACTGGCAACGCTGGGACACCACACACGTTGATTGAATGAGCACCGTTCTGCGAGACCGGATGGAATTCGATTCTGAAATCTGTGTTTGGGAAAGCGCTTTTTGCAGGCAATCGGTGATAATTTTAATCACCATTGCAACAATTGGATATTTATGTAATTTTCAATAGTGACCTATTAAAAATTGATAAAGTGTTTATTTTAGCAGGTTCGTAGAAAAATTTTCAATTGATTGGTTTGTTTAGAATTAAAATCCAACCGCTATTGACAGAGTTATAAATGGTTAAAACCTGACTTTTTACGCAGGATTAGGTCTTCGGCAACAGGGGGAGAGGTAGCTCATCGATTCTTCCGGTTCGCCTCCTAGCATCGTGCTATAAGGTACCAGGCGATAACCAGGGTAGTTGATCGATAGCTCGATGACGTCATTTCGTTGACGTCTGCAATGGGAAATTCTCATAGCAGGCGTTGACGATGGGACGTTGTCGAGTTGTTGAATAGCAACTATCGTGGTAACTCACCGATTACCTGTCGATCTGCCAAATTTGGAAAGACGTCTGCATTGAATTGTCTCATATAATAATATTCCGCCCACTATATCACAAGAAATTGCGAGTAGCTGAGTGGAATGGAGATAAGTAAAGCATTGGGTACAGGACCAAGTCTCCCCTGGGTGGTGCCAAAAGATGAGCGCAATAGAATCATCAAGTTGCCATAAGGCACGGAATGAGACTTGCATGGCTGGGTAGTCAAAGTCTTCTATTCGTTAGTCATTTCAGGTGGATTAGAACAGGTTTAGGTGGGCGTTGGCCAGATTTGGATTTTTCATATGTAATCCTGGATAGGACCCTGTCATTGAACGTCGCGTGAAAGTGGAACTTAATGAAGGCCTAAGTACTTTTTCGTAGTTTTTAGTTTTCGGATTTGAAAGATCGTCGGTTACAGTGGCCTGCTTACTGAGCAGAATAACGCGGTCCCAGGTCCTTACATATCAAAGAGATTTATGGTAAAATCGCTTGTGTATCGTGTATTTTGCGAAACTCGTTGTTGTCGTTGGTTCCGGGTTTGAATGGATACACAAATTTGAGCAACGGTATTATGTGATATGAGGGGCTCGGTGGCCTTAGAGCAACCGTTTTTGCTTACTGAGCAGAACATCATGAGCCTAATCTCAGGCCCATCCACATTCAAGATTCGTCAATTATGACTACATGGTAATAACAGCAACTCGGTGATTAAAAAGGTGCTCGTCTGCCTAGTGGCAAACGTTTTTGCTTACTGAGCAGAAGACCGTGGGTTTAGTCTCAAGCTCCTTTGCGTTATATGATCGTTAGGACATCAATTCAGCTTATCGTTTACCAAAACGAACCCTGCTGCAAACCCAACCCTCTTATCCAACATCCCAGTGATTCCTCGTGGAAGTGCAGAAGTGTTCTCGGCTTCCATCAAAGCGAGTGTCATGTCAACACAATCCTTCCCATTCCTTTCTTGACCTGTGTTCGGGCGCGGCTGGCGCTGGTATTGCCTGATTTAAGATCACCAGTTTTTACACATTGAGGATGATTGCTAGTCCCAAGCATCGTCTATTGGTTCTCTGTGTAATTACAGCTGATCTGGCAGTAACAGAGTAGCAACCGTGGGCGGTCAATCAAGCTCAAGCAAGCTCAAGCTCAAGGATTAGGTCTTTCGACAACATATTGGGGTGCAATTAAAAAAAACCAAAATCGACCGCGTTACGAAAGGTCGATTTGGGTTTTTTGAAATGCACCCCAATATGTTGCCGAAAGACCTAATCCTACATAAAAAGTAACAGCTATTAATGTGTCTGCACTTTTTTTCGGGGACAATCTATATCATCGTTTTTTTTTTAATTTCTTCTTCCCAAGTTCCGATCAGATGAACATATTATTTTGATCTGCAGTGTCGCCTCTCGAAACCCTGCATTCTGTTTCAAGAGCAAATTTTCATTACGTCGAATGTAACAAAGGTAAACAAAGTCGAGCTATCAGTGTCAATCGATTCTCCTGCTATTACACTATATACTGTGCGAATATAGGATCAAATACCATTTTTAAATTTATTTACCAGTCAAATTGCTTTTTGACGTAATCACCTTCCGATCAAAATAGTTTTCGATGTTACTTAAGTCACCCAATTTCTATGGAGATGCCGTTTGACTTAAGTAACAGCGCTGAGAAACCCGTGAAAAGTGTACGTTCGTCGTTTCGCTTTCTCATTATTAAAGTGAATAAATCGAACTGTTTGTTGCTAAGATGATTTCGGTGGTCCTAAAATGATGAATGGGCTGCACGTAAGGAGACGTAATTGATAATTTTCCCGAATATCCTGGTAAATACACTTTGACTTAAGTAACAATAGGGGCCACCAAACGACGTATAATAACTTTTGACTCAAAAACCAGTATTTTTTAGCATGAAAGCTAGCGATTTGCATTTGTATGATTAAAACCTTGCTAAATATGTTAAACATTGCTATCACTATGAGATTATATGTGTTTACTTGGAAATAGGAATAAATTTTCGGTCATCAAAACAAAACTTTATTTTTCTCGGATTGGTGTGAATGTTACTTACGACATAATGAAAATTTGCTCTTGGTTTGTCCTCCGATGGAAAATATCGAATACAGTACTCCCTCCATTGATGCGGTGGGTGGTACCGTCCACCCACCGATATTTGTCGGCTGTCCATCAACCAATTACGCTGATTTTTTTGTATGTGATTGGTGTTAACTATAAACTAGTTATCCACCATCCACCGCAAAAATTGAAGGAATGACTGTAGTCGAATCGTAAGCTTCCGCCCCCACGCATAAGCTACTGTGATCACATATGAGAGAAAGAAGAGAGTCGCTGCACTGGCGCTCTCACCGCAGTGCAACGGAAAAGCTCCTCGATTTTCCTCTCTTGCTTTCGGGGATCATCTTCCTTGCCACTTTGCCACCCACTCCGAAAGCTCCCACTGCAAGCAAACAACAAATAAACAAAAACATTACTGCCATCATCATCTGAACTTGATGGTGTTTTCTTTCCACCCCGTGTTGGTCGTCGTGCAGTTTGATCACACTCACCCACACCGTTGCTGTCGTTTTCGATGTGTTGTATGCTAGCCATCTCGCTCTGGCACACTGTGTTTGGGATCCGTTACCAGCTGCTTACGCTCCCTTGTTCGAAAAATAGAGCTCAGCTGAAGCCAGTGCCAAACAAAACTCATCGTTCGAGCTTCTGGTCTCAGTCTGAAAGGAAAATTCGTGTGAAAAGGATCCTCCGTCTCCTTTGTGTGCATATTTTTAGCCAGCCAGTGCAGCAGCAGCAGCAGCCAACAACCACAAGAGCTTCTCTAAGCTAGATATATAGCCAATATATAGCAAACAGAGAACTTTGTTGTTTTTTCATTCAATTGTGCAATTTTTCAGCTGATTTTCTTCGCGCTCCCTGCAAGGAAAATCATCACCACCAACCAAAATAGAAATCAGTGTGCAATTTTAACTGTACATTCGCAACTAACAGTGTGATTTCTCGATTGTTTGCAATAAACCCCGTAAGTGACGACGAGTGAGGATCGATTCCTTTCGGACCCATCGACTGAAAGTGTTTTGAGAAGAAAAAAGCAACTTCCGTTCTGTCCAAGAGTTTTTCCTTTCTGTCGAGAAAAAGGAAAACTTTTCGCTGCCATCAAGAACAGAACCAAGAGCAAAGTAACTGTTAAGTAACTACCTAGTGAGTGCAAACCGTTTTCAAGCAATCTTCAATTCTAAAGCGACTGTGAAAAATTTCCAAGTAACAAAAGAAGTGGAAAAACTCATCCCTTTGGTGTGAAAAGCAAAAGTCCTTAAGCGAAGAAAAAAGAGCAAAACCTCTCAACTTTTCCCTTCGCGTCCGCGCAAAGTTCGCTTAAATGAGTGATACAAATCAGAAATGTTTCGGCAAAACTGGTGGATTCTCTATAAATTTTAATCAAGACTATACGTAAGTAGTACCTTTTCGCTTCCCGTCATCATGACTGTAAAAAATTTAAATTCATTCTCGAATTTCCATTCGAGTTTCTTCCTTCATTGTTTCGATTCATTGTTTGATGCTAAAAAGTGACCTCATATTTATAATCACAACTACACCCATGATCGTTGGGCGAAAACAGAGTTACACATACTAGCGCAGTTCGCTGTGAAAATCATCACAACCACCACCATCATCAGCAACATGATGACCATCATCATCATCATCATCACTACCACCACCCATCAAACACAACCTGTTTGTGTGGGATACGTATCTAACATACCGTACATATGGATGATGTTATAAAGCACGGAGTGCATCATATTCCGAAAGGGGGTTGCGCGCGCGGTTCTCGATGTGCCTTGCTGAAGTTCAAGTGTTATCGCATGAACAGGCCGACCAATCCACGTGAAAGAACACGAAACAGCCAGAAGAACCGGATGACCTCATTTTGATATCATAAACCTTTGCTCCTGTCGGACTGTGTGATGATTTCCAAACGGATTACCCCGGCTTGATTCGAGACGAGACGAAAGAAATGCTGATTATTTGTTTGGTTTTGGTGGATGATGTGAGCAGTGTGACAAGCTCAACGTTTGCGGTTTTATTGTTGTGTGGATCTATTGGTGAACGTTTACTTGAAGTCAAGGTGACTTTCGGGAGGGATGATGTGATGTGAAACTTACGCTGCGTCGATGGATGTTGTGAAATCATTTGTTTTGATAAGACATTCGTTCAGAAGGCGGCATAGCAGACTGCTGAGCCAAGATCGGTCGTTGTTGTTGTTGTGCACAGTAGAATGAGTCGAAGAATTGTGAAGATTCCAACAATGTTCTGTTTGGAAAGTTGAAGGTGGTTCTAATTAAAAATAGTTAGGCCCAAGTTGTTTGTCAATTCATGAATTGAACCATTTTTTTCAGTTGTAATATTAGACGATAAATGATGCAATCCAGAAACTGTGCACTGGAGATGTGCAGTAGACTGATGCAACATTTTAAATTTTTGCTCCCAGTGCTCAAACGGTTCCAATTTTTGAAAATGATTGACTTGGCTTTTAACTTTGATAGAATATTTCAAATGTCAAATTAAAACCGATATGAATCGATTGAGGGTTTATTTGTTCTGGTAATTAATCATGCTTTGTTGTCTTTGACATCATCCACTTCCAGAGGGCCAGTCACTTTCGAATGTATGGGAATGGTAGGAAACCATTTGGAAATGCATGAAAATTTTCAGTTTTTATTCATTATCGTCTTTATGGGCAGTTTTAGATGCACAAAAATTGCACGAGTACTTTACTATGGTGATAAGGTAAACACTCGTTTATTTGTTTTCTTCTGTAAAAGCATGTTTAGTCACAAGTCGTTGATTTTCTGATATACTCCATACTGCAAAAATGATTTTCCTACCACTGAAGGGGTGACATCTCTCGGATCTTCAGTATAGTTACTACTCAAATCATATAATTAATTAATTTGGTAACGTTCAAATGTACCAAACATACCAAAAGAAATATAATGCATTTAAATTACTAACATTATTCTGATGTGCTGAATTGTTTTTTTTCCGATGGACGGGGTTGTGATGAGTATTCAGAATCTTCCTGGGAAGTGATGTTTCATGCTGTTTGTAGAATATATTTGCTCTTGGCTCTACTTGTCTTTTTGTTATGCATTCTCTCCATCCAATCAATTGTATCAAAATTTAGGTAGTTATACTCAACATTCGAATATTTTAACACAAATGGTAACTTTTTCTGGGCTTCGCATTGGGGTTTCTTTTTCATCATTGTTATTTTCGGCATCCAGAGTTTGTCACATCCTCCATTTCCGCTGGAGATTTTCTTTTATTATCGGTCAAATTGGGTCGAAGGTTCTCAGAATCTTATGAAATTGTGTCTACAGGTATGTTTATGGTTATATCAACGACCAAAACTTCAAATAATTCAGAGTGTAATTTTTTCGGAAAATTGTAGTTGAAGTTTTCGGATTTTTCCGGACATCACATAATTTGAAAACTCATAACTCATGAACCAAGCATCGCGGAAAAAAACGAGTGGTGTTTCTTACCGAAAAACTGACGATCATAAAATTCTGAGACCCTTGGCCCAAACCTGTCCGATAATTTAAAAAATCTGCTTATTATACAGTCTTCTCTCCCTTACTCGGTATCCAAGGGATCACCGACTTGGGGAGGTATCGAGTTACAGAATATCAGAACAAAATGACGATTCTTAAATTCCTTAACATACCCCAATAATGTAGTTGGCCTATTTAGCTATGATTTTAGAAATTATGTTAAATGTTTTATTCAAACATTATCCTAATATAAAATTACCATATTGGGGCTATCCATATACAGGAAACTAACCATGAATCGAAAACAACCGGGAAATAACCGGGAATTTGATTGAAACATTAAAATATTTTGAAACATTGAAACATTAAAATAATTATGTTAATCAATATTATAAGTTTGATATTTCGAATATTTCTCTTACAATGAAGTGTTTGTTTATTTCGTCAAGAAAAGTAGACTACAATCAGTGGTTACAATAGGCCGTATGAATAAAAGCGTTTTCTTTACTTTTCCCGTAAGAAAAGCACGGGAAAGTAAAGTAAACTCTTTTTATTCATACGGCCCAATGCTTTACTTAAATGCTATGCATTACTTCTACTATGTTTTAGATGGTTTTTAATTTGTTCTTTTGACATAGTGATGCTAATGATTTCACAGGGTAGATTTTACTGTCGCATAATTCGATTGATGGGACCATTATTTGCGTTATTTGTTCTGTGTGATTGTTCGAACATTTAATATTTTTTCAAGCGTGGAATTTTTATCTTTTTTATAATATGGGATACCAACAATTAAGTATGAGATCTCAAAAAATTCCAATATCTCAGAATCTGACATTTTGAATATGTTTTTTTTTTTAATCTTAGAACTTTTAAATATATCTCCATTTCTGGAATATTGAATTTACGTCCATAAAGGATTTTTCCAAGTTTAAGATTTAACACTCCTTACTGTTACACTTTTCTGAAATTTCTAGTCCGAAAATCATTAAAAGTTTTCTAAAACATGAATCTTGGAATTTGTTCTCAATCAAAGTCTCAGAATGTTGTGAATTTTTATTAGTCCTGAATATTGAAGTTCTTTGAGACTTTTTTCTCAGGATTTATTTGCGAATTTCTCAAGGATTTTCTTTTGATCATTCAGAATTACATTTAATTTTGAAATTTCCCTCAATAATGGAACAATTCTGTTCGGTATTCTCTAGAAATTTTCTTCATAACAATTTTGGAAATTTGTGAAGAAAACTCGAGGGATACTCTCCAGAAAACTCTTGAATTTTGCTTTAATTTCGCTCCAAAATCTTCTTAACAATTCGTTAAGAATATTCATCGGTATTTCGATCTTGCTATTAAGTGGAGCCGCATATAAGGCAAGATCTTCGAAGGGATGGTGGCTACCTTGCATACATACAGTACTGGACAAAATAAATCATACACCCATATAATTTTTTTTTGGAGCTCGATATATCAGGTAGATTCAAACATACAATAATGGTTTGTTCTGCAATAGGGTTAATTACCCCATTTCCGGCCTATTAAGAACAAATCGCAGTTAGTCTTTCATAATCTAGCGCAGTTTAGCACCAAGCGAAATTTTATTATTACTAATGGCTTTCAAGTTTATTTACCTTTCCGTACGTACCGTAAGATTTGATAACGAGAAACCAATAGTTGAGATATTTTCAAAAGTCTAACACTGCTTCTTGACGCCAAACTCGGCCTACGGATTCTAAACTCGGCCTAACGCATTGAAACCCCATTGAAAGGCCAATGAATTCACTTCGGCCTATCGGATGAAGATAAAACATGATTCGGTCGGAGTGCTTCTTTTATTTTTGGGAATAATGGGGCAAACCTTCATATCACGAGTTCTCATTGACTTCGTTCGGTAGCTTATTAACTAAAGTATCGTACCAAACGCATAATCGACTTGTTAACTCTGAAATCATGGATTTATTTGAAGTTTTCTGCTCGATAGGCCAAAAATGGGCGATTAGGCCGAAGTAGTTCTCTACCCTACTTCTGTATGTTTTTCGCTAAAACTGTGCAGGTATATAATATTCAATATAATTTCTCAATCATTTATATGTTGTAAAAGGAGAATTTCGAGTTAGACAAAATAAATCATACGCCTGATTTCTTATTGAAAATTCTTGTTTAATTCAACTTTCAACTTACATTTTAACACTCACAATATTTGGTAGGGTGGTCTGCTTTCAACACTGCTTCCAACCGTCTTGGCATACTTTCGACGAGGTTTTGTAGATATACTGAATTGATATTCTCCCACGCTGCTTCAAGTGCTTCAAAATAAACGTTTTTGTTGGAAACCGATGCTTTATCCACTTTGTTGTCCAAGTAAGACCACACATTCTCAATTGGGTTGAGATCGGGAGATTGGGGAGGCCATTCCAGCGTTTTGATCCGATTTGATTTGAAAAATGCCGTTGTTTTCTTCGCTGTGTGCTTTGGGTCATTATCTTGTTGGAAAATGTAATTGGATTCCAGGCCAGTTTTCAGTAGCGAAACTTCCAGATTTTCACTTAAAAAGTCAATGTACACATCTGCAGTCATTATTCCCTTTATATGAGCCGCCTCCGTGTTTAACCGTCTTTTGAATGTATGGTTCCTTAAGAGCGTCACCGGAACCTCGCCAAACCCTTGATCACCTTTTCTGTCCAAATAACTCAAATTTGCTCTCATCCGTCCACAGACCTCGTTTCCAAAAGTCCACAGTCATTCCGGCGTACTTTTTAGCAAATTCCAGTCGCTTCCGTTGGTTCCGCTTGTTGATAAAAGGACGCTTCGATGCCAAACAGCTTTTCAAACCGCTCTCATTAAGTCGCCGGCGGACTCTGCTTAGCCATTCGAACAATTCTGATGTCATCACGA